TCAACTTATTCAATTCCCGATAATCGATACACATGCGATGCGAGCCATCCTTCTTTTTCACAAACAGGATGGGTGCTCCCCACGGCGAGCTACTTGGCCGAATAAACCCCTTCCCCAGCAACTCCTGAAGTTGCGAGGATAATTCCTGCATCTCTGGAGGCGCAAGGCGATACGGCACCTTAGCAATAGGCGCAGCTCCAGGAACCAAATCGATGCCAAACTCTACTTGCCTCACGGGAGGCACACCTGGTAACTCTTCGGGAAATACATCTGGAAACTCCCGCACCACCGGAACTTCATCCACAGAGCTCGGTCTCTCCGAAATCACCCGCGTATCCATCACATACGCTACATAACCCTTACAGCCCTGCTGTAAACACTGCCTTGCTCTAGCAGCCGAGCAAAAGGCTGATCCAGAACGTGTACCCTCGCCGTATACCGAAAGAACTCCCCCACTAGGATCTCGTATAGTCACCAGCTGTCGCTCGCAATCGATAACCGCACCGAATCGGCTCAACCAATCCATGCCCACTATAACACAAACATCACCCATCGCAATCGGAATCAGGTCGATCGGAAACTCGACCCCGAATATCTCCAATACACATCCCCGGAAAACCTCTGTAGCACAAATCACCCTGTCGGCGGCTATGGAAACCCGCAGAGGCCGACTCAATACTCCACGACTAACACTGATATGCTGACTAAATGCCAAGGATACAAAAGATCGACTCGCACCCGAGTCAAATAACACTAAAGCGGGTACAGAATTCACAAGGAAGGTACCTAAGCATAGCATGATATAAGCATAATATCTCAACACCGGAAATAAATAATGAAAAGGAACATACCAGCCACGACGTCGGGTGCAGCGCGGACCTCTTCCGCAGTCAGCTGGAAGGCTCTCCCCCGAGCCCTCGGTGCCTCGGCCTTCACAGGCCGACTCTCTGTAGTAGCAGCTCTGATGGCGGCGGGAGCAGTCCCCTGAGATGCCCCGCGAGCAGCGGACACTCCGCCTTCCGGTGTCCAGTCTGATTGCAGTGGAAACACACTGCGAATCCCTTGGGGCAGTCCTTGGCCATGTGCCCCTCCTTGCCACATTTGTAGCAAGACCCTGCCCGACAGGCGCCATCGTGACCCTTGCCGCACTTCCCACATGTGCGGCCCTTCTGACTCCCGGGTCTGGGATCAGCGGGCTTGGCCCGCTTGGCTGCCGGCTGGAACTGTGCCGGTCGCCGATCCCTCCCCATAGACTCCGCCTCCTCCCTAGCCTGGTCTCCAGCTCAATCTCCCTCTTCCGAGCATTTGCCTGAGCTCGGCAAATGTCCGGTACGAGGAGTTCGCAGCGAACTCCCGAATATCCCGCCTCAAAATACTCAGATAACGGCTCATACGTGCCTGCTCGGTGGACACGTGCTCAGGGCAGAACATCGCCCTCTCCTGGAACATCCTCGTAATCGCTGTAACCGACTCAGTACCCTGCTTGAGGGTCAAAAACTCCTGCGCCAGACGTTCCCTCTCCACCTGAGGAACGTACTCATCCCGGAACATGGAAGTGAACCTCTCCCAGGTCACTGCCGCAAGCTCAGTCGGTGTGAAATGTGCAGACACAAACTTCCACCAGTCCTTCGCCCCCAAGCGAAGCTGGTTCAGTGCGAACCGGACCTTCAAATGCTCAGGGGTCGAGCAAGTGAAGAAGCATCCCTCCATATCGGATATCCATCTCATAGCTGCCACCGGGTCCTGCGTACCATCAAACTCTGGTGGCTTGGTGTTGCTGAACTCCCTGAATAACGTCGCATCACCTCCCTGGGGTCTCGCCGCAGCAATCGCTGCGGTAGCTGCTGCGACCGCAGCCTCAGAAAGGGCGGCATAGCGCTCATCAAATGTCTCAATCAAGGCGGTCTTAATAGACCCGAACATCTCTGGTATCTCAGCTTTGATGACCGCAGCCACCTCCTCGTGAATGATCTGCCGAATGTCCTCATCACTAGACCCGGCATCCTCCGGCATGTGTCGCGTCCTCACCATGATCAACCTCTGAAATACAACATGCGATAATCAGAATTCACTCGAATACTCTTACATTCAACAATCCACCCCTCCTTGACTCCTGGCATCCTCAGATTCTTATTTGAACTGTGTACCGCTCCGGTGCTTTTAGTAGTACGGGCCCAATACTACTGTCCACACCGTCTCTGTACACACCCCAAATCGTCCTCTTCGGATCCCAGTCCCCAAGTACTCTATTATACATAAATCGCTCTGGAACAAATCTCACACACAGCCCTAGCTGCTACCTAATTACTCTCAGCATCTCATAGCAGCTCACCATACCCTAAGCTACGGCATCACAAAACAGGCCACCCTAGTCCTATCAGCAATACCTAGCTTGCTCTAGCATGCAAACACATCATAGTAATAGTTATTTCATAATAAAAGGTATTTTTGGGAATTCACCGTTCGGGCGCTGACTGATCGTACACACGTTTCTTCCTGGAAAACCTTTTACTCTTAGCACTTTTTTTTGAAAATATCTCTTCATTTCCTCAGTTTGAGTTCAAATACCCCCGAAGGTGTACCCGAATCCCTCAAACCTAGGCTCTGATACCAATTTGTAACACCGAAATTTTAAAGCCAAATTATTTATTTTTTTTTTTAAAAAAAAAAAAACATGATTCCATTAATATTTATAAAACAACCCTTGTTTTTGTTTCTCATAAAACAACCATTTAACTGTTCAACATATCAGTACAAAATCCCCAAGATCAACATGTAAAAACTCCAAACGTGTGTGTACGGATCAAGCCGGCGCCTTCCCGCGGTCGTCACTAGTACCTGAAACAAATAACATCAACACTGTAAGCACAAAGCTTAGTGAGTTCCCCAAAATACCACATACAACACATATTAGCCACTCGAGGCTATAACTCTATGGGTCCGTGCACCCAAACTCCTCGAACCCTCAGGTTCTAGCTCTGAATAACATGCACTACATAAATCACATAGAAATCATGCAGTACAACACATAACATACACAGCATACAATTACTCAATCACATAACTCTGGTTACCTACTCAAGGTAAAGTATAGAGAGGAGACTCACCTCGGGTGTGTCTCGGTAACTCGTAACCCTGAAATCACTAAACACTCGAGCCGCCGAGCTGAAGTCCACCTATAGCACAACACATCCCTAATTAACACTCTCTCAATCTGGAGTTGATCACACTATAACAATCACTCTTGGTCAACGCTGGTCAACGGTCAACTTTGACCGGACTCGGCGAGTGCACCATGGCGACTCGGCGAGTTCGTGCGCATGCACCAACTTCCCTGAAATCCTTCCTTGACTCGTCGAGTATCTCTCCCTACTCGACGAGCTCCACCTGGCACGAGTTGTGGGGCTACCACGACTCAACTCGCCGAGTCCAAGAACAACTCGGCGAGTTCCAACTTGAACTCAGACCCCTGACTCTCCCAGACTCACCGAGTCATTCCCCCAACTCGACAAGTCCACTCACTGAGTGGTTAACGGGCAACCTTCATACGACTCGCCGAGTCTGTTCTTGGACTCGGCGAGTTCATGCCATGCACGAACTCAAAACGACTTCTGAGGTCAGATCTGCTCCATAAAATCATAGATCTGGCCTCCCCAAGCATGATAACCACGTAAAGTTACGATCTTGACGCTCATATAACGGCTAAATGGTCCCAAATGGTGATTTAGCCCCAAAAGTGACATTCCAAGCTCAAGACTCCCAAAATAACTCATAAAGCCTCATGGGTTAAGGTCTCTGGACTTCTTTGGGTCCAGATCCAAGACACAAACTCGAGAAGGGACCAACTACTCCACTTAATCAACCTCTAAAAGGGTTAGAAAACCCTAACACTAAGAATCCACATCAAAAATGAAGAAGGTTCGGGAATAATACCTCAATACAGCCTCTATGAACACAAAGACCTCAAAAGTCGCACCTCCTTCAGCCTCCTCTTGCCTTGAACACTTCTTCCTTGCAACAACACCCACAAAAGCTCAAGATTGGCCTCTCCTTCCTCACAAAGGCTCTAGATCTCTTTAGGGTCTCTCTCTGGGGTTGGGTGAGCACAAGGTCGGCCATAAGGCCCTTTAAATAGGCCACAAACCCGGGGATTTAGGGTTTCTCAACACAGCGCAGACTCGCCGAGTCCATGCCCTGGACTCGCCGAGTCCAAGCGCGCATCCTTGCTCAATCCTGCGTCTCTACTCGGCGAGTCTGAGCTCTGACTCGCCGAGTCCCTCTCACAAATAACAAAATTAAACTTACAAGGTACCTGGTAAAAATCCGGATGTTACACATCAAAGCTCATGATCAAAGATAAATAAACACAACAAGATGTTTAAATAGAAAACATTTCCATAAACTTCAAACAAAAGATAACATTTATTCTTTAAAGCAACCAATCATCCATGGGATTTAACCCTAATCAAACCAAATGAGAATCTAGCCAAGCATGGCCCACTACAAGAAAAAGAACCTTTTACGACGCGCAAACCACCAAACTCAGTGATTTATGTTACACAAAAGAGAGTGACATTAAAAACATGTTATCTCTTCAAAAAATTTAAGGATTTAGGTCACGCATTATTGCATGCCCTTAAATTAGTGTCTAATGTAAAAAAATTAAAAACATGGAGGGCACTTTATCTAAAATGAGCGTCTTCTATGAATGTCGTTTTATATTTTTTTTAGAAATGCGCGTCTCTCTTCTCCTCCTAGAGGGAAAATGAAATCCCCAAAAATTTTAAACACCGCTTTCTTCTTCTACATTCGTTTCGATATGTTCTCTAATATATGTCTCCATCATCTTCGCCCCTCACCCACCCCCCGACTCTTCAGGCCGACACGATGATGATACCATCTCCACTGCCTTCAACATGTTCTCAAAATAAAATTTCTCCATGAGAACCACCGTCTTGCCATCTGATGCCGCCCTGATCAACATATAGAATCCGTCTTTCATGAATCTGTTATTGTGTGCGGCGGATGTTATGGAGATTGCAACTCCTCGAAGATTTAGTGTTATGATCGGTGTTGTTCTCGGTGATTCTCAACGAAGCGATTCAGGCATCATTCCTCTCTCAAAACGATTTAGGGTTTTTTGGTACAAGGTATCGGCTAGTCTTTTTTCAGACACCAACGACTTAGGGTTTTTCATAAAACATGTGTATGTGCACTTTGATTGCTCCAATGGTGAATCCACAATTCTGATATTCTTGAAAGATTCCACTTGAACGAACTCGGTTAGGGGGAATGCAAATTCTGTGAGAAGGTAATCTCAAATCTGATATTCTTGAAATCTCCATGAGCTTATAATCTTTTTTGCTCACCAAGTCTTTTGTTTTTTTTTTTTTTAAATTATTGCACAGCCTGTTCACTGTGGATATGTTGCTTCAAAGTATCTTCACGAATGTATTGATTTGGGAGGAATATCAAGTATAAAATGCATAAGAGCAAGGGGAACACAAGCCCTAACACCAATGCAGGTAATCAGTTATCTATTTCAATCTTTTTTTCTAATCATTTGCTGATCAATTCCTTTTTCTAATAAATTATATCTGCTAATGCAGAGCAACCCAACTGACATTCCTAATGGTTTCATTCCATTTTCCGCGAGTTGGCATTCATATGTGATTAGTAATCGAAAAAATGAGAATTCCATGGTAATGAGCTTCATTGACAGGTGAATTTTGATCTTACTAAATCTCTGTTATTATGTGACATTACTTCCCTTTTGATTAGATGATGTGTGTGTTTCTACCAGATTGAGAATTTATTTTATAACATGATTGCACGAAGGAAAACTCTACAGAACTCTGCTGATGATTATCCAAAAATTGTTGACCTACTTTGTCGGTTTTCCATTCATCATAAAAATGTGAGCTTCTCCTGCAGAAAGGTATGTAGTTTAACTAATTGTTTTGCATGCATCTGAAACTAATAATTGTTTTGTTCCATAATTTTGGGAGGCATACTGCATACATTTTTTAATATTGGTTTTAATGTCTTGTACATATCCACTATCTGATTCTTAGCATGGAGCTGGTGCAACCGATGTTCACTCAGTTGCTATGTCTACAAGGCTAGATGCAATCATATCTGTGTATGGAGTCTCAGTTGCTCGCAGTCTGATGAAGATAGAGGCTAGCTTTAGATGCTAATCCATCTACTTCAGTTTTTGAAATGGATGGCTTTATATCCGCCTCTAGTTACTCTGCAAAGAAGACTACCATGGTTCTCTTCATCAATGGTATGTGTTATGTATCACACAACTTTGAGAAACCATCAAAACCCTTCCCCTCTAAATTTGAGAAACCACACACAAGTAACAAAAAAAAAAAAAACAAAGAAAAAGTGAATATGCCCTAGCAATTATTTCTTTAGTGTGGTTGAGTGATAATTGACACCCTTGAACTTCTGAATTTTGACTTGTGCAAATTTATTGACATTCTTCCTGATATTTTGGTTCTTATTATAACCTAACTTTTCCTCACTTTTTCACAGAAAGATTAGTCGAATGTACTGCTCTGAATAGGGAAATTGAAATCATCTATGCTGCAACTTTACCCAAAGCATCAAAACCTTTCATATATATGTCACTTATCTTGCCTCTCGAGCATGTTGATGTTAACGTGCATCCCACGAAGAGAGAGGTAATGATGTTTCTTACATGATTTTTGTATTATTTCTTCTTGACTTATCCAAAGTGCTTTTTTAATTTTACCACTTTAAAAATGTGTAATGGACCAATGCATGAAAGACAAAATGAATGAGGTCTGTATACTTAGGGTTTTCCGGATGTGATGAATACATCCTTAGTTACTCTAAACTTGAGCTTATAAATTTATACAGGTGAGCCATTTGAACCAGGAGGTTATTACTGAGAAGATACAATCGGTGATAGAAATGAAGCTAAGAAATTTAAATAAGTCAAGCATGTATCAAGAGCAACAGGTAGTATTTTGATTATAGAAATGTCAGAGCTTGCTTTTCTTTTTGGTTTGGTTCATCTAATATATAATTTCTTTTATGTGTTTGAACAAGCAGTGGATTGCTCTCCTGTTAGTTCACTATCTGCAAACAAAGCTTCCTGTGTAAACACATCAACTTCTGGTATGCAACTATACAAGTGTAGTGATGCTCTTCTTTTTACTTTTCACTTGATATATCTCTTCATGTTCTATCTTGTTTTCATATATTTTAAAGGGTCGCAAAAAATACCTGTAAATAAGATGGTGCGGACAGATTCACAGGATCCTTCTAAGAGGATGCATGCTTATTTTCAAGCTAAGCCTCAGTTGCTTATGCTGGTGAGAATTTGTAATTTTAACCCTGTAACTGTTCAAAAATCAAAACCACTCTAAACTAACAATGATTCTATTTAACTCATTAACAGTTAGGGCCTTTCATTGATTCGGAGCACCCCGAGATCAAGAAAGGAGCTTTAAACAGGACTTATGATGATTTATTCTGTCTTGAAATCCTTAGGAGGGTATAATCGTCTAAACTGCTCCTTTATTTTTACCTATAACACTTTTATTTCCACTTTTTCCCTTGATTTTTTATATATCAATTGTTCCTCAGCTTCAAGATTATGTGGAATATATGGGCTCTGCTGCACGTGTGATTCTTGTGCCATCTATATGCGATGCACATCATGATTATGTATTTCCTTAGGTAAAATTTTATCATTTCATCGTGAATGAAAGAAATATTTATAAATATTACAGTAAGTTACATGTTGGTCCGTGAGTGTAGCTTTTGATTGTGCAGCCTGCTTTTGATAAAATTACTCTAAGTATTGGATGACTAAGAAGTTTTAGAACTATATCATTTGATTATATAGCCTGCTTTTGATATGAATATAGCTGATCAAAATTGACAGATAAATTGATAAAATTACTCTAAGTATTAGGCTTTGGGATGTGGAAACAGGTACATGTAAGCACACATTTGGTGATAACAGCTTCCTTGTTAGCTCGTGTGCTTGGTTTCCAGACTCAAATAGACTCGTCTATGGGAGTTCATACCCTAAAAAAGGCATCTGCATGTGGGATTGTGAAGGCAATGAGATTAAAGCATGGAGAGGAACACGGATGCCAAAGGTGTTAGATATTGTTGTTACTCCAAATGGTGAATATTTGATTACCATTTTTTCAGATAAAGATATTCGGATACTAAATGTGGCTACAAATGCTGAAAGAGTTATCTCTGAAGAACACCCGATTACATCTCTTCCGGTTTCTGGTGACAACAAGTATTTGATTGTTAATCTTAATAGCCAAGAGATTCATATGTGGGATGTTGAAGGGTTATGGGAAAAATCTTTGAGATATAAGGGCCATAAGCAACATAAATATGTCATTCGTTCTTGCTTTGGTGGGGTCAATAGCACCTTTATTGCCAGTGGCAGCAAAATTCACAGGTATATATAAATACCTGTGAATTTACCTAACTATCCCTAACTTTCATCAGCTAATTATCCTTAAGTTTATTCTCTGATAATTGTGAGAGCAGGTATATATCTGGAATCGAAGTGGTTGTGAGAGCAGGTATATATCAAGTCAGAACATCTTTTTCATTTCTGAATGTGTTGTTGACTTATTTTGGTTCTTGTGCTCTTCTCACGTACTTAATTGATTTAGATGCAGTAGTTCGTGTATGACCAGAAGGGCTGCTCCTATATTGAATCCACACCTCTTCATTATGTTAGATGGATATGACAAACTCGAATCCAAAACATTCAACCTAAATTAAAATGTTCAGAATCAAATTATTAGTTAAGAATGTTGAATTAGATTATACTTCAATAAATTTTAATGTCATCTTTTCAGGTTCCAGTTACAAGTAGCAAAGGAGTTGGACCTTCTATGTTAGAAGGGCAAAGTGGCTATGGTTCAACCATGCAAGACTCACCAAAATTCACATCTGGAGACTACCCTGCAGCTACCCAAAAGTATGGCCAGAAAGGGGAAAATATGCTCATTTTTGGTTTTTTTATAATCATTAGATGGCGATAATGGTTAACTTTCTTCTTGCAGAATTCTAGAAGTTTCTTTTTTTATACCTTTTTACTGTCTGTACACTCTGAGATCTTTTAACACACCATTTACTATGAACTTTAGGTCTACTTTAACAACTTCTTTCTTTAAAGTCGAGTGAACCTGAATTAGTTGATGTTATTGGGCACTATTCAGGGAAACCGGGGTTTTCAAGATTTTAATATTAAAAGGGAAGCAGGGGGTTCATTTAGTCATGTTTCAAGGGAAGTGACAGTTGAGGTTTAAATAACTACCTTGAGATTCATCTATTATGGATTGGAAAAGGGACTTGTGTACCTACTCAAGGAGATTTTGGACCTCTTATCTCAGAAATCAGTGCTACACCAAGTAAAATTCTTTCATGAAATTGTTTTTTATTAACTTTTTGATCTGGATTGACAAAATGACAAGACAACCCCCTTTACTTTTTTTTACAGATTTCGTCCCTACCGTGAGCAACAATCCACCTTTTAACAACAAGAAGAGTAATAATGGTTTGATTGTATGGATTTTGGTTCCGGTTGTAGTTGTGAGCTTTCAGATGAGTTAGTTCTACAAATAAGCTAATAAGCTTAGGGAGGGTGATTTTGGACTTGTTTACAAGGTACTTCTATACTCTTTTTTTTAATCAAGAATTTAATTTTTTCTTTTTAAACTCGAATGGAATGGAATGAAAAAAGAATGGAACAGACAGGGCCAAAATTTTCTTTGAGACTGTGAAAGACCCCTTCATTCTTTTAAGATCCCTTCATTCTCTTTGAGATGAAGCATTTTTTGACAGATCAGCGGGAAAGTAGCTTTAGTCACCGGTGAAAGTTTGCTAAATTGGTTTGTAAATTGTAATTCAATTCTCCATCTTCAATGTTTACATTTTTTTGATCAGGTTCAACACTTATAGGTTCTAAGAAGATATATAAAGATATACACAGAACTTCGTTCACCTGTAGAGAAAGATGAAATCATATTTGAGGTAACAATTTATAAAAATTTAGGATTTAAGTAAAAAAGAACTAGACGATTGATGAATAGTATGGTGGGTGGGTGTATAACTATTGTTTTATGAAGTTACACGACAAAAAGATTCTAAGTATTATATAATACAATTTTATCTAAATGCTTTGAGTTATAAGAATAAATAGTAATTATCTTTTGGATCCCCTTAAAAGGTGTCTCAAGGTAACATAACATATCTATTTATTGTTGGAGTCTTTATATATTAAGTACATGCAATCAGAATATTGACACCTTTATATGTAGTGTGTATTTAAATAGTGATTTGTATGATCTTGTAGGACCTAGATGCGTTCACTACAGCTATTGTTGTGAGTATTGCCTTCTCTTTCATTCCTGCTTCGTTAGTTGTTGCTATTATGAAAGTAGGCCACTCTCCGGTTGTATTTTTCACATAATTGACAAGGAGCTGTTGTATCTATTCAGACTACGCTTAGAGCAATGGTTGCAAGAGATGAGTTCAGAAGAAGAAGAAGAAACAAGGCTGCAACTATAGTTCAGGTACTATGGATGAATTATGTTTGTAAAGTATTTAAGAAAAAGATTAGAAACCAGGGTGAATTTGTACAGATTAGTTAGCTACTTGCAGGTTGATCTTGAATAAGTAAAGGGGGAATGGATTGTATTTTTTGTATCTAATTCGTTTATAAATTTTTGTTACAACTTCTATTGATTTGTTTTATCTTTCCATGGAACGATTATTTGTATGACATTAAATTTATACAATGGATTCTATTTTTTGTATATGATATTTTATTTTCTATTATAAAACATTAAATACAAATTTAATTTGAAAATAAGTAAATCTATAAATAATTTTTTTTAAACATTTAAAATTATGATACGCACAAATGTGTGTCATCTTCATTTATGACATGGCCTTTCTTAACAGGGGCTTTCTTGATATGCATTGCGTGTCATTAACACACGCGTTGTAAGTTTACGACACACGAATGCGTGTCGTCTTCCTTTATGACAGGGCCTTCATTGATACGCATTGCGTGTCGTAATTACGCATCGTAAATGAGCGTCGTAAATGCGCGTCGTCTATAGATGACGCACAAAAGCGCGTCGTCTCTCTTTATAACAGGGCCTTCCTTGATGCGCATTTGCGCGTCTTCTGAGCCTTTTACGACGCGCAATGAGCGTCGTAAAAGGCTGTTTTCTAGTAGTGGCCAAAATAAAAGAAATACAAGATAGTTTAGAGATACCAAACGTGATTCAAAGTGCAAGATGAAATGAAATGACACCAATCTTCAAAATCTTCAAATTCTTCCCAC